GCAAACAACCTTAAGAAGCTCACAGGCTGCCCCTCCCCCACACGAAGAACTCTGCTCTATGTTGATCCAGGAGAAAGTACCAGAACGCTTTAGTCTAACTTGTATTAAAGATTTTTTTCCTTCTAGAGCAAAATAAAAGCTCTATTGTAACTTTGCTCTGCAGCAAAGACTGCAGTGAGAGCCTACTCAGCAGTCTCAGCAGATAATTTTCAGTTCAGAGTCTTCGTGAAACGATTCTAAATGTAAAGCAACTTTCGGATACTAGAGTTAGTCATTTGCTTTTTCATGACCCTAATGTCTTTTGGTTGTGAAAATAAAACAGTCATGTTAACACAAGCCTACACACTGAAAAATAGATAGAGATAGATATAGGTGCTTGGGGAAAGCAGGATATGGTAACAGACTATAAAACATGCTCTGGAAAATATGAGACATTTTTATTTAATGCTTTTTTCATTTGACTGCTAAAACCTTTGCAGTTTTGGAGAATTTTCATAGAATAAGGTTATGCTGTTTTAGTTAAAAATGGAAATGAAAATACACTTATTCTCTACGGGAGCAATAGTCTTTTGATTTACCATTAACTAGTTTTCAAGTCTAGTAGGCTAGAATGAGCTAAGTAGAAATGTTTTGAGGGCCTGCTATGTTCCAGTGTGCTAGGGCCTTTGCACATATTGTCCCTGAATTTCACTTTGCTCAGTTGTACAGTGATAATGATACTCTATTCCTTCCAGTGCTGGTTTGAGGAATAGAGGAACCAAAAACAAATTTAATCCTTGGGTTTGTTCGTTATTTAGTTTGTTTTCAAGTTGTCTATCCTCCATTCGCTTATGCATTCAGAGAAACCTTTGTAGTGTATTTGAATTCTATATTCCTCTATATTCAGTATTTTTTGTCTTTCTTTATTCCAGGAGCTAGAAATAAGGCTAGAAGTTTGGGACTAATTAGTCTACAGAGACAAAGCATTCTTGGTATTTTTCAGAACTAGATAATCTAAAATTAAACAATTTCTTGAATTGGCCAGATCTGAAATCCGTGCCATGGCTCATAGGTGCCTGTGTGACCTGGCCCCACCACTCTCCGACTTTGTTTGTTCCCCACCTCTGCATGCTCCAGTCACTCTGACTGCCTTCCAAATCCCCTCCCTCCCCTCACCCCACCCCTCCCAAAAGGCATACTTCTTTCCATCTTAGGACCTTGGTTTCTTTACCCTTGATTCTTTGTTTGGACAGTTTCTTTTCATCATTTAATTCACCTGTTCAAATGTCACCTATGCAAAGATGTACTGGGCCCACCAAGTATGTAAAATAGCTCATTCTCTTCACTAACATATTTCCTTATTGTGTTTTATTCATAGAATTTATGACTGCGAAATTATTTTCTTCTGCGAAATTATATTTATTTCTGTCTTTTCCCTCTAAAATACATACTGTGTAAGAGCAAAGACCTGCTGGCGATCCAGTGATGAAAATGTCAGTTATACATGAGGTGTCAATAACATCATGAATGAATGAATGAATGAATGGGCTTTTGTCTCACATTGAGATTATATGAGGAGAACTATGGGTTCTGACTTGTGATTCCAAACAGTTTGGATATTTGTTCATTACTAGTTCCTTACTAGTAAATGCTTACTTAGTAAGGAACAGCAAATGCTTCGCACACAGCTAATTAGATAGTTCATATGCTTTACATATATTAACTAATTTAATTCCTACAACCCTATGAGGTAGGTATTATTATTATTATTATTTCTACTTTTTAGATTCAGAAATTGTGGTACAGGGAGGTTAAGGAACTTGCCTGAGGTTACACAGATAATAAGCTTGGAAGCAGATATCTGAGCCAGTGCTCTTTACTACCTAAGAGAAAGATCTCTATAAATACAGCTTTAACCATGTGCCCAGCACCCGGCTAAGTGCTTTGTGCACATGGTGTCATTCAGGCCTTCCTTCTGCACTGAGGTAGATACTGTCCTTATGCCTGTTCTACGGATGGGAAAGTTGAGGTTTCGAAAGCTTAAACAATTTGTCCAAAGTCCCATAGTTGCTTTGTGATGCAAAAGGGACTTGAATGTAGACAGTATGAAATCTATGCTCTTAGGCATCATTTCTATGTTATAAGAATGCTTTGGATTGTCTTGGAACACAGCCATTTTAAGGTTTGTGAAGGAGGAATTAGTCCCCCTCCCTCGACTCATAGTGTTCACTGGTATGAAGAAAAGGTACCCATTACTTAGCCACAGGTTCAGAATGAATTTGGGACAATCCAACTCAGAGAAATGAATATGAGAAGTAGAATTTCTATCAGTATAACCACTTGCCTGTAAGGTATAATACAGTTGGCTAAATGTCTATTTCTTCAGAAAGAGCATAAGAACAGGATTTAGAAATCTGATAACTATGAAAGGTCAGTTTTGGTTTCTAAAATGAACCAAGGCAGAATTATATATATATTTATATATACTAGGTCTGAGTCTATACTGAGTTGAAATGCAGTGTGTAAAGTTTAGCGTTTTGTAAAACTTACCAGGTTTTTAAAAAAAATTTATTTATTTGCTTTTTAATGGTGACATTGATTAACAAAAGCCAATAAGTTTCAGCTGTACACTTTAACAGTAAGGCATATATATATTTACACTGTATGTTCGCCTCCTATAGTTAGATTTCTTTCTGTCACCACATATTTGTCCTCATTTACCCCATCTACCTCCTCCCTCCCCTCTACCCTCTGAAAACTACTAGTCTATAGTCCATGTCCATGTGTCTCTATTTGTTTGTCCTGCTCATTTGTTGCATTTAGGTTTATATCTCACATATAAGTGATCTTACGTGATTTTCACCTTT